CCATTGTTTAAATGATCTAAAACATACTATTTCCTCTTTCAAGCAAAATTGTGTAAACCAGCCCGCAACAGGTTTACAGAGCATTCAGCTAAAATACTGAGGCCCTAAAACATGCCAAAGTGTTATGATACTTTCTCCTTTCTAATCTATTTAAATTCATACCGTGCTGGAGCACTTCACTAAGACATGCGTTACGACTGCATTAGCTTGAAAACTACAAGGAGGAAGTGTTTTAGAAACTTGTTTAACAGCTGCTTCATTCATAAGTTCACAGTTCCTGCAAAACAGGTATGTTTGTGTTCTCACAGAATATTATTTCTATTTTTATTAAGTCACCTGCACGTCCAACCTTAAGCATAAGTATATACATAAATCAATAAATAAACAAACCAAACCAGCCTCTGATCTCTGGGGTCCCCCCTCAGTTCTCTTGGCAATTCCTTCAGGGTTTTCTCTCCGTTCGGTACCAGGACCGAAAAAAGGGATTTGAAGGGAGAGAAGTAATAAACTAAAGAACTGGTCTTACTCTGGAGTGAACGGCAGGTCAACTCATTATTTTCCACACAGGAATATCTTGAAATATTAAGAAAGAAAAAAAAATTGCAAAATAAAAATATATCCCCACATTTAAAAAATGGTAAACTGAGGCATGAAGAATAAAATGATTTAACCACAATCTGACAGGAGATTAAGGGCAAAGCAAAGAAGACAAGCCAATGACTCCAGCTTCAAATCTTCTGCACTAAACTAAAGCAGGAAAGTCCTGTGGGTGGGAGATATTATGGTAACTTAGTTTTTTCCAGTCTCCACAACACGAAAGCCTACTTCTGCTCAACAGCTTAAAAGAATTTGAGATCACAGCAACAAAGATGGAAAGGTCAGACTAAACTCATTGCTCACACCACACACTAAAAATATACAATGCTATGACAAACCGCTTGATGAACACAAATGGGAGAAGATTGAACGCTGGCCTCCCCAGAGCTAGCACAAGTTTACAGACAGTTTTAAACACAAAATAATTCTGACTTTTTCAAACAAATATTTGAAAGTGCTAGCTGAGACTTGAAGAAGCCTGAGACAGCATTCCTTTTTTTGCCTGATGCTTTGTGCACGCTGGGAGGGGGATGCCGTTCTTGTTCATGCCAACACGCCCCTGAGCTTTTTCCAAGAAAGATGGAGTTTGGCTTTGATGTCTGCAAGAGGAAGCTGGAGCTTGCAGCTGGCAGATGTATTAATAGAACAGGCACTGGTGGACTAGAAGGGACCTCAAGTGGGTCATAGTGTCCTATCTCTTCACAGCACACAAATGAAACACACAAATGTCACCATCCAGTTATCGTTCAAACACGCAGGCTTAGAATTAATTTTTAACAACTCTCTACATTAGGTAAAACCCAGATGTCTGAACTTTGCAAAAATAAGAAAAATAGTACAGTCACAGCCATGGGTAACTTGTTTAAAACCATCAATTAAGAGTCATATAAAATATTTTGCTTGCATTCCATTTCTATTGTTCATTTAGCCTAATGCAGTTTAAATATTTTTGTAAATTATTAAAAATATTTTAATTGGGTTAAGGGCTGCTTTTTACATGTTTAAATAATTAAGTATTAATTCTTCAGCCACATTTTGAAGCCTAGTGATAGTCCCGGGCTCATCTGACCATCTCTGCAATCTAACATAACTTCAGGCTTCTCAAAGTTGTCTTTGACTAGAAGAGCTAAACAGAGGCTATTTCATAAAGTAAGGATGAACACGAAATAGCAGTATTCACAACATGCTCCAGTCTATCCTCGACAACCACAGGGCTTGCAAAAAGACTACACGAGAATGGCATGGCTATAAATGAAAACTGTGTTTGCTTCCTAGAGAAGAAGTGACAGCCTTACGTGCCTAAGAGTTTTAGAGCTTGAGAAGAACACTATTAGTCTTACTGAACTCCTTCGGATGATAATCTGGCAAGTCTGTAAAGGTCAAATAAATGCAAGGACTCAGCCCCCAGGTACAGAAACTTTTGTATTTTATTCAGCAAATTAATTTGTAGAAAACTAAGCATTTTGTTTTCTATCTTGAAGCAGAAGCATGCATAGATCTGGGAACTGAGCTGGACATAACCATTTCCTACAAGTACCACCAACAGACACAGTTCAACAATTCTTAGGTCGCTACATGAGTGGTGGGATTTTACAATCAGCACTGCTTTTATAAAGTCTTTAGTGTTCTCATAAAAAACTAACGTTTTTAGGACACAAGTTTTCATGCACTAGATTACAATTTTACAGAAGACAAGCTTTGAGCCTGAAACAGCTTGACAATATCCTTTCAGCTTGTTCATCAGATTAACTTTCTGTCACACATCAGATGAACAGCTTCCTTGGTTTCTTGCCTAATCTAACACATAACCCAAGCAATTCCCTTCTAAAGCACAATCAGAAGCAAAACCAAAAACCACTGTAACATTCCATTTCTTTCTAATAACACATTCAGTTTGAAATTTTCATTTCTGCCTCTAAGAAAGATTACCCTTTTAGCAAACCATTTACAGTGCCGGGACTCTGATTTCAGATAGGATTAAAACAACATATTAGACATATACAAACCACGGGGTCTGAGTTGCTTACAGGACTAATAATGTGCTATGGGTCCTTTCACATCTAGGTCACTGGTTCAAATTCAGCTTCAGATGGTGATGAGTGAAAAGGAAGAATGAGGTAAGAACCCAGTCATGAATCTGGCCTCTGTTCCTGCCTCTGCAACATATTCACTTGGTGCACTTGGGCTACTCGCCTGCAAATTCTACACTTGTAAAATAGCAGTATTATGAGTACCAAACTAATCCTAGATGACTAATTCATTATGGATTCTTAGAGTACCCAAGATTGTCACAAGATTAAAGTATTGCTACTTTCAGACTGTTCAATAGCTAACATGAAATATATTAGGGAGGACTTTTTCAGGACAAGTCAACGCCTTGATATTAAAAAAGAAAAACACTGGCTACACTTGTATCTTTTGATAGCAAGATAAACATGGAAATCAAATGCTGAATTCCACTTTTTCTCGTAGGTAGACAGAACAGGTTAAAACTGAAGCAAACTGGAAATCCAGAAGCAGCCATATTATGGATAAGAAAGACAGAAGGAGAGACCCATGTGGTGTGGAGATGCTCTTGTGCTCTCCCTTTATCCAATAAGTATGTAAACGCTGTGTCAATGTCAGTTGATAGAAGAGGGAAGGAAGGAAGAGGAGGAAAGAATTTTACAATCCCTGCAAGGAAAACAACACACACGGGAGGACCAACACATTTTAACCCATTCTTGGGTTAAAAGGTGAAAAATAATGGCGGTAGAGAGTTTAGACACAACATGATAGCTTCATTAATAAGCTGTAACTGCTACAAAAATCATCATACCACCTCTTACACAGTCTTGATACTATTGAACTATGGCTCACACCAGCATTGAGAATTTTTCATATTTGCAGGAAAATTTAGACCGATTACAGCTATTGCACACTTTTTCCAAAGACTCTTCAAATATGTTAACCACAAGAACAGAACGCATTTTACAGAGAACGTATTTTGTTATTACTCCCACTTCAGAATCAGCTATGCCTTTCTTTTCAGAGGAAGCTCATACAGAGCAATTCCAAAGGACAAAGAAAAGCATGAGTCCTGCAATCAAGAACATTTAATGAGACAGTGTGCAAAAAGTTTGTGCCAAGAAGGAAATCATAAAAATGAAAAATGATGCCTTCCTCTTCCAAATCTAATTACCAAATTTCAACTCTTTCTGACAGAGATAGGAGCGATATTCAAGCAATGAACTTCAGAGATACTTTGGCAATGGATGGAGCCAACAAAAGCCACAAGTAGAATTCCAAAATTATTTCAGGGGCTGTGCTTTGCTCAAGCTCCTATTGACAAAATTATGAAGTAAACACATCAATCAGTGTTGAAGCATTACACTGAAGATATTTGCTACCCTTTAATCTACTGTTTAATCCATCTTCAACCTCTTGCCCATTGAAATGAGTTGCAGAAATAATATCAGCTTTAGCCCCTGCTTAGTTGGTTTTGCCACCGAGCTGTTCTTGCGTTTAGTCAGACAAGCTTGAAAGGGCTGCTTGTGAACACTCAGAACCACCAGAAAGTGCAACAAGGCGAGAAAGAAGGGAAATACCCCTATTATACAGAGTAGAAAGTCTACGTGCGATTACCATGCCCCTGCTTTGCATCATACATTTGGGTCTATGCATAAACTGAACTCTAAATAGCAAACTTCTCTGCATCTCTCCCTGACTGAGGGTACTCTGACTGTTCTTTGCAAGTGGGGAAAGCTGAAATTACTATATTACCTTGCAAATGTTGATTCAGAATTATTTTTTTCTTAGCACAGTAAGCTCTCACTATTGCCCAAAAATGTGTGCTTGTCTCTAATTCTCTACAGAAAAAAGAAATATGGGATCACACAAAACTTCATGCTGCATTCACACAACACTGACACCAGCAATTCGAGGAACTGTACTTAAAAACCAGACGAGCACAATGCAAAGGACAGGCCTGAATATTCACTCTCTTTCATTTGTGACCAGCTGTTTCTCATTGGAATCACTTATGATCAGTAGATAAGATCATATTTGTAGCCTAACCCGTGCATTAACTCTAGCACAGCTCCAGAAGACTGAGAAAATAATGCTCTAAATGCATGTCACTGGAAGTACAATACTGAGGAATGTGCTGTAGGACTGACACAGCATGAAAATTCATTCCCAGCACCTCAGAAAGTGCCAGGTCCTTTTAGTTAATACACTTATTTTCTTTTAATTTATAACTGGTGTTTCAGAGAAACTGAAAAATAATTTTGTTCCCAGACTGTTTTATGTTAGACTTGATAACTCGACTCTCACAGACCCCTGTATTTCAACAGAAGACTGCATGTTACAATGCAGATTTGTGTCCGTGTAGAGTTTCAGTTCTGATAGAAGGGATCTCTTACCTTCAGACAGGGACAAATCATCAGCTGGAGACACCAGGTCTGCCTGGATCGCAAGGCCATTGCTCAACGATGTGGTAATCTGATTCGTCAAGATAACCTGCAAACAGACAGGGAGAGGGGGAAGGAAAATGAATTTTTATTGCTACTGGAAGGCAGAATCCTCCAGACACAGCACCTAGGCAACCCTCTATTCTGACCTTTAGTAAATTCAACATGCAGAAAATTTTGAACTACCTGCAGAAACTGCAAGAAGTGTAGGAAAAGGGATATTGTTAAAAAGATTAAATACTAAACAACAGTATGTTCTTGATACATACAGACATCTAAAATGAAATTACAGTTCTGAAGAGCTTCATTCTTCCATGAGCAATTTGATACTTCTTGCAAAAAGCATCATTTTCTTCATAGACAAATAGGAGATCTGTTTTCCTAATAATTTCCACACAACTTACACACTTCATTCTCCACAGTGCCATGGAGAAAGGTGCTGTAGGGATACAGCCTCACTGATCTGAAGCACAAGGGTACTAAATTTCACAGGGCTATCTCTACACAAGAGGATTTTTCAGCTTTTTTCAGGATCACAAGATGCTGTTAAAACACCAGAGTGTAGTGCCCACACAGTGCTCTCCTCTGACAGCATCACCAATGGTCTTGTTTGCAAGAGAAGAACAGTTCCTTGCACCTTTGAACATGTACTCTTTTCTAGTAACAGAAAGCATTAGGGTAAACACTGTGAACGCCACAGAGAGAAGAACAGAAGTATAACCACAATTATCTCCTAATGCTTTGGATCTCTAAGCAGCAGCACTTTCCACAATTACAATCAGTTTCCACTTAGCAGACTGGCAAAAACTCCAGAAATAACTTTTTTTTTTTTTTTCCCCAAAGAACCAAAGTGATCCTTCTGCCTGCACTGAGAACAGACTCCACTCCAAACAAACTCTCTTTTAAATTAATGGCCTGTCTTCAGCTGTATTTGACACAGGAGGAAGGGAGAAAGGAATCCTACACGGTACTCTCTGGATGGGTTCATGATGCTACTGGAATAATTTAACAGCTTGCCATTGCTAAAAGGAAGAGGAATTTTTCTGCTCTTCCCTCCACCATTCCTCCCTCCCTATGATCATGGCTTCCTCCTCCTTTCTAACACTTTCAGTGGTATGATATGACACACTCTGCATTTTCTTTTTCTCTTTCAAGGTCCCACAGAAGCTGTATCAGATCACAGTTGTAGTGGCAGCGGTGGCGCTGAGGGACATTGACTCTTCTTCAGACAGTGTGATGTGAGCTACCAACAATGTGATAGACACTGAGACCTTTACCAAGACCGTGACTCTTCCTCACTGCTCTCATCAGCCCACACATCTCTATGCTTGGAACCAGGCACAGTGATGCCCCAGAGCTTTACGGGCTCTATCAACAGGACTAAATTGAAAAGTTTGTAAGTCAAATCTTCATCTACTCAGCAGGAGCTCGAGACCTTCAGAGCCCCATAGTGATGTCCCTCATGCTCTTGTGCTACTGACTGCAAGCTCTGGACAAACTTCAGTTGGCTGCCACAACCCTGCCCAGCTTAACCATAGGTTGCACCTTTTGGGACTGGACATTTATGACCACTGCAGCAAACACAGATATAGTAGATAACAGCCTTGTTTGGTCTCACACCTACGCTAAGGTGCTTGAGGTACAATTTGCAATACTGCCAACAGCAAACACACAAGAAACACATCACTCCCCTCTGCTGTTTCCCCCAGAGTGGCTGTGTGCACCTAAAACCATCCAAAAGCCTTGCAGCCACCACTGGTTTACAAAATAAGATTCAATCTAATAACAAAGAAGAAAATAGACGCTTTTCCCTTTCTTCTTGCCAGGGTACTTATCTTCCGTTTTAGTGAGCAAGTTCATCTTTGTGATAGGATGAACATCAAAACTAGTTCAAGACAAATGAAAGGAGTGGGCAGCCAAAAGTCAGGAGGGATAAGGAACAGGATGTGAGACCTTTCCTTCTTAACATTGTTTTCACTTCATTTTCTGTGTGTGCCACAAATCCCACAGCCTCACTTGTCTATTGAGACTCCTCAGGCAACCAGGCTAAGATACACCAACAATATGGCACAACACTGAAGCTTTTCCTTGATTTAGTGCTAGAAAATGTGCTGAAACGGAACACACTAACAAACTTACACACGCACATGTACTGGTGGGGTATGAAGTTTTCATTGGCACACTTTTGCAATGATCACATTATTCAGAAGTGTCAAACGCTCTGTAAGCAATGGAGTCATCCCAGACCTCTGCCAAAATAATCTTTGTACTGTGCCATCACTTATTCTATTATTTATACACCACATTTTAAAGAAAAGCTACCATGCTTAAGGAACTTTTTAAAATAAAAAAAAAAAGACCTGAACACACCATATTTCATATTGCTCTCCTTCAAAGGAAACTAACGTTAAAGTCTTAAAGTCTTCAAAAATCAAAAGAAAAGAAAACAATAAGAATAATGCAACTGCGTGGGGTTTTTTTAAGTCTTTCAGTTTTGCCCTCCTCTTCAAGCAGAATCTCCACTGCACTGTTCACTGTACAACTGTAAATCTTCTTCACCCTTTATGTTTAACTCAAGCTACATCTCTGAACTTAGATTTCAATTTCTGATGCATCCTTCAATAACTATTTGATACTAACAATATCCTAAAAACCCTGCTATGCTGTTTAAAAAGTCAGTTCAAAAACACAGAGATGTACCCAAGTAAATGCTCCTCTCTGGCTTGCTCTAAGGATGGGAATTAAGTGTATTCTTAGTTCCATGACTTCACTGATAGTTAAACATTTGCTTAAATACATGTTTAAATTCTGTCTTGAATAAGCATGCTTCCTCTGAGATGAAGCCATATACATGTACAGAATGCTTATTTTGGAATTAACTGAAAATTATTCTTCATTTCTGCAAGCCTGCAGAGCTAATGCAGAGATTCAGTTCTCCCATAAGCACAAGCCAAGAGGCTGTTGGCTAAGCACTAAACTTGACATCAAATTCTCTGTCACCCTTCTGCAGCTTCGCTTACTGCAAGGTACTTCCATCAGGTATAGGTACTCCTATTACACAATTAATACTCGTCTTTGTGCACCCACCATAACACAGTTTGACCATCACTCTGCAGGTGGGTAGAGCGCTCCAGACTCGTGCTGGCTCAGACAAGCTGTGGGTTGCTAACAAAAAAGCTGGTCCTTACTGAGCTCCAGTTCCAAAGAAGGAAGTTAAGACGCTCACATTTAGAGAACCCCTCTGAATACATATATCTACCTTCAAAATTCCAATCACGTGCCCTTACTGGAAAGTGCTAAGATTTATTTTTCCCAGGGTAAAAATAAGGTCACAATACTTTGGCAGTTAATAGTGCCATGCAAATAAGACCCTATGTTTTCAGCAGTTCCCAATCCTACAGACATTCAACTTGAAGCCCTGAATGTTGACACCACTCGATTCCAGTGTCACATCTAAAGAATGTATTAACTTTTCCCCAAAGCCTCTTTCGCCAACCTGAAAGACATCCTTCCACGCCATTCTGCTACCCTTTGAAATGGCTCAGAAAGCTGCAAATAGGTGTCTGAGGGAACAGTTAAGCCTGAGTACAATTTGGAGAGAACAGACAGGTGGCCAAAGGAGGTGAGGAGTGAAAGATGCGTGAGTCTCTGATGAGTAATCACATTTGTGCACAGCCAGCATCAGCTGAGTCTCACACACTGATTCATACCTGTGTGCACAGAACATAATGCTAGTTCTGATCTTAATGATCCCATGTGTTACAAATCACCCACATTATGAAGTGGAAGGTTAGAGTATCTGCTTTTGGTCTCCTAGGTGCCACACTTGAAAGAAACCACCTGTCACTGCTAAACAGCGCCTGGAAACAGGCTGGGGTCACAAGTCCAAGCAGACTTATTAGAAAGAGTGCCTTCCACTGAACTAGCAATAGCACTTCCTCAACTTTTCGTTGGAGATTTGCCATTGAAGTAGAGATTAGATTTGCCCTGTTTAGTACAGGAGACCTGCCAAGTCCTCAGTCTAAGTAGGTAAGGAAAAGTTGCCTCTGTTGCGGTTCCTTTTGTCAGATACCGGGCATCGTTACCAGCCAAGCACAGCTTCCACTTAAGAGGTTCAATGCCAATCATGAGCATCTCCTCTTCCAGGAGAACGCTCAACGGTGAGAATGTTGCTAATGTTATCACATTAAAATACACAATATTGTATTTTAATTACATTAACACATACACTGTATTTTATAAAATACCCAGTATTTTAAGAGGAGGTCCTATTTCCACCATCAAGTAATGGAACAAAATATTTTTGTTACCAGAGGTACTTTCATTACCACTAAGGCATTAAAAGTCATAAAAAAAATTACAACTCTCCACATAAAACTGTGTCCTGACATGTGCAACAGGTAAGGAGGTTGTGTTACTGTTTTCTGTTTCTACCTTGTGATGACTGAAGAGCGTAGGGCTTCTTCAGCCAGTGACTGTGCATGAATGGAAAACATCCTCCACTGCTTAAAGAGGAGGAAAAAAAAAACAACCTACACAAAAAGGTCAGCTAGACAAGCTCAGTAACACTGGAAACTTGCCCCATGCAGTCTTCCATGGAGTTCAATGAGCCTTTAACTTTTCAGTCTATTCACTTGCAACTGGTTAAACTAGCTATTTAACAAGTGAAAATTTACAGTCCACAGCCTTCCAATTCCAACAATTACAAACACTGTAGAAATTCACTCAGATTCAAATTTCAAAATCATTTCTGGGAAAAAGTCTGCTACTTAAAATACCACACAACTGACTGACCACACAATTTCCCAATCTTATGATTTTTATTTCAGCATAGCAACCTTAGATTGTAAAATAACCCCTTCTAACCATTAGAAGTGTTACGACATCGAGACAAATCCTTTTCCTTACAGTAGAAAACCTGGAGATAAAGACAAGGAGACAGTGGGAACATATTTTCAAGTTTCTAATTTTAGACTCCTTAAAAAAACTGCCTATTCTTCTGATCACTTCCCAAATTTTTATAGGTGCTGATACCTGGAAAAAAATGGA